TTTATGATATTTCATGAATGCCATTACTAAGTGTGACCTCAGTACCCTTCAGTTATGTGATGAAAACACAGCAGGCCTTGTTTGAAAAGTGGTTTCAAAAAGGATTTTTAAATCAGGTGACAAACCTCAGTACACCCTGCCATAAAACCTAATGCCTGCTCCCAACCTCACTCCCATCAGTCCTCCATCCCCTTACCATTCCCAGACACAGCCCCATAATAGACCAGTTTTCTGTCGCCTTGTCTTCCAGTCACAAGCTGGGCAAGGGAATCAGGGAATAGCCTTTAAGTGCTTCTATGAAACACCATGTGGCCAAACCAAAGAGCCAAGGGCACTGCTATTTTACTGCCTCAACTCCTTTTGTTCCCAACCTCCAAATTTAAGTTCTTCCTGCAGATATATGTGGACTATGATTCAAATTGTAAATATAGTTACCTTTCTATTATATTCTGTCTTTGAGAAAGAACCATACACAATTTATAACCAATGCAAGAGCACAGGCTTTGTGGAAGTAAAAATGAGCCTCCAACTAAACTTACCTCTAATTTCTTTTTCAGAAAAACCGGAACATCTTTTCCCATGCATTTCATCAGGTTTTGCAGAATGAAGATGTCTTTGATACTTGAAATGCGCTGCTCCACTAGTAACCTGACGAAGAAACACACACAAGAACTTTCCTCATTTCAGCAGAAACAGCAGGTACCCCCATTCTTCCTCACTGATGTACCCCTAAGTTAAAGCTGTAACTCCCTGCTCCTCTCCCACCTCCTTTTTTATGCAATATTGGCATAACTCTACACGATGTAGCTGCAGCACAGATATTTTATGCATAGAAATAATTTTATATGCTTCCTTAACATTATCCTGATAGATGAATGTTGTTGCTGATATATTAACAGCAGGGGCACCTGACCAGACTGCATATGTGACTGTGTAGATGTGAGTCCCGTTAAGCGTCAAAGAATTAACATCCTCCCGCAGAAAAAAAATTGTATATTTTTATCTCAGAATCATCTATGTGCAGACAAGTTCTGAAACTGCCAGGAAACTCAGGAATGGACACTGACAACCATTTGTTGCAAGTGAGGAAAGAAAACAAACAAGCAGTGCTGTGGGCTGCAAGAACAGAAGGGGACATCGCAACACAGAGGGATCATAAGCACAAGATGAAGGAATTCTGCATTCCTAGCACCTACTTTTCTGTCTCAGAGGGTAGTATTGTAATTGTTCTGTCCAAACAACCCTTAAATATACCTGCACGGCTACAAATTATGAAGTGTCGCTTTCTAAGGCAGTGCACTGGTCTGAAATTCACCCCTGCAAATAGGCAAGAGCTCCAGACATCAAGACAGAGAGAGAGCTGTAGATGGCTCTCCTGTTTTGCACCAACTTTTAAAGCACATCCACCTTCTCAAAGTAGAACCTGACCCAGGATCAAAAGTACTAATCCATGGCAAGTTTTGTGACAGCCTCAGTAAGAACAATCTTATGGGACTGAGCAGCTTGGTTAGTCACATAAATCGCATTGGCCCAAAAAAAATTCACTACAGCCAAACAAGTTATTCTGATAAAGCACTACAGAGAAGGACTTTCTGGATGCAACTTTTACTTACTAAATTAAAAGAAAATATTCCCAGGCTGCTAAATAGCATTTTTAATAATGAAAAATCAAAAATACTTCAAAAAGTAAGCTAGTCTCACTACCTCCCATTTACACACAGATAAAAGAGGGATAGATATGTGAAGGGACTTAAAATCACAAAAAAACCACACTTGTGGAGCTGCAGCCAGAACACAATCCCCTGTGGACCAGACTAGCACCCTATACTACTGGAAGCCCTCCTGCTCGAAACTGCAAAGAACACCAAAAATCACTGTGTAGGACAGCTCTTATCTCACGTGACCGTTTAAATCCTAAAAGCACAATATGTATTCTATGCGCAGACATTCCCTCGATGATTTCTAACAGACATGTATTCAAACAACATTGAAATAGGAAGAACACGTGAAAGATATGTTTTTCTCACTGTAATCCAGCTTGAAGAGCGCTCACATTCTTGTCTTTATCCATCCCTGATAAAGTAGTTGCCAAAACGGAGACACATCGGTTATCGAGTTGATTGAGCTTCTCCTGTTAAAGTTTCCACAATGTCAGATTACTTCAAACCAACAGAAGTTTCAGAAAAGTAAAACTGACCACTCTTAATCTGTACCTGTCTTTTTTTTTTTCCCCTCAAAAGTCAATTCACAAGCTTTAATTCTGCAGTGACCCCCACAAGGACTCACATCAAATTCAGTTGATTTGAGAGGGGTAATGATTTTTGAGACTTCTCCTCTCTGTTAAATCTGAAATCAGGCAGTGGTTTCAAAAATGAAGGAGACAAGAAGTACATACAAATGAACTACGGGAACCCTGTTTCCATGGAACATCAGACTAAGCCAGGGATGTCACCCAGTTCTCTCTGATGCTGCACAGACTACCAGAATTGCCCACAAGGTTTCAGCCCAGATTTAGAAGGATCTTCACACTCACTTGGCACACTCTCAGCAAAGTCTGGACCAGGAGTGTGTTCTGGGGCACCCCGAGGTTCACCACGGCGTGCAGGCTGAACACCAGGTCCCCGCGCGTCATCCTGCGGGAGTCCCGCAGCAGCTGCTGGCACAGCTTGGCGAAGGCCGGGTGCTCAAAGATCAGCTGCTTCTCGTAGCGCTGCTGCTCCTCCGACATGTGTTTGAAGAGTCTCCACGCAGTGGTTAAACAGTTTGTGTAATGCTTGATGGAGACAGCAGACTCGGAAGCCAAGTCCAGCGCATCGCAAGGACAGGTGCATTTCCGGAGACTATTAAAGAACGGGTCATCATGATCCACTACATGCTTCGCTTTGAAGCTCCCAGAATCATCCAGCTTTTCAGCTTCCAAGGAGCTCTGGGAAGCCTGCTCACTCACCAAAGCCTCTGCACCTGTGCTAAACACATCCGTCTTTTGAGATAGAAATCGAAGTGATGATCCATGCAGGGAAGGAAAAATATTTAAAAATAACTCCCTGAAGTTCACATTTCCCAAGGGATCCCTGTATCTGCTAATCCATAAAATGTGTTTTCTTGTTGTGCCTGAAGATCTGGGAGTCAACACAGAACTGTACCTATGCAGGTATCTAACAGTATTTAACAAATAAGTTATTCTCTTATTCATTTTTGCTAATTCCTCATGAATAGACTTGAAATACCAAGTCAAAATAAGGGATCCGATGAAATTCTACAAGTGGAAACAGTTCCGGAGGAAGTGCATAAGATCACTCATCTGTAAAAACAATTGAAGATTATGGGTTAGTTACCCATAAGTACTCAGACTTTGAACTCCTACAATTTCAACTGCCAAATCTATGCACTTTTACAGGAGGGGACAAGATTTGGGAAAAGATCCCCGGAAAATGAGGGGCTTTTATTCGGTCTCCTACATTTCAGCGAAACATCTCGGCACAAGGCAAACTCAGCCCGGGTGTCAACTGTTTCCTCCTCTTTGCTGCTCTAATCAAAAGCCCTGCCGGGAGGCACAGGCTTTTCCTAAGTGACGTTTCCCAGGCAGACGCGTCTCCCGACAGGGTTCTGGAGGGTCCCCATTAGCCCCGGGTAAGAGAATCCCGCCCGCGAGCCTGGCCCGACCTCCCTGCCGCCATCCGCCGGGAAAGCCACCTGCCCGGCTCACCCGCGGGATCACTAGGGGCGGGGACACCAGGAGGAAGAAGCCGGTCGGGTTTCGGATTTGCTTCCCCCAGGCCCAGAGCGCTTGCCCAGCGGAAGCGGACAGCAACAAGGGGACAGAGGTTTTCGGCGGCTCCGCACCATGCTCGGAGTCCCGACGCAACGGCTTGGGTCGCGCCGGGCCGGGCCGGGCCGTGCCTGCGCGCTCGCACCATCCGAGCCGTGCCGGGCCGGCGGCCGGCTGAGGGCGCTTGCGGGACTGCGGGACCGCGGCCGCTTACTCGACGCGGGCCCGCGCTTGGACACCGCCGCTTCCCCGCCGTCCGCAGGCTCGCTGAGGGGATGGCGCGCGGGAGGGACACTTCGCTGGCTCGCGGCGCGTTGCTGCGCAAAGCCCGCAGCTACCGCTTGGGGGGTGCGCGCGCAGCTGGCAGGTTCTGGTGGCGGTGATGGGGGGCGCGTTCCGCGCGGGGAGCCCTCGGAACCGCCACCGGGACCCGCGCGGCCCGCTCGTACCCGCAACGGGGACCCCGGGCGCCCCCGCCTCGGACCGCAGGGACCGCGGCGGGCCGCGTAGGCGGACCGGACCGGGGCGCCCGCTCGACGCACGGGGACCCCGGGGGCGGCCCCCTCGACCGCCCGGGACCCGGGGCGGCCGGCCTGCGGCCGGGGCCCGGGGGGGACCGGGGCGCCCCCGCCTGGCCGGCCGGGGACCCCGGGAGCGGCCGCTTTCGGCGGCCACCGGGGGCGCCGTGGGCGGACACCCGCTCGGACCGCACCGGGTACCCGGGGCGCCCCGCCGGAACCTCTCGGGGACCCCGGGGGCCCCGCGGACAGCGAGCGCAGCCGCAGCACCTATGTACCGAGACCGGGCGGCGGCCCACCGCTTGCAGCGGCCCCTCATTTAGCGCGTCCCCACCGTTTCCTCATTCAGGCTCCCGCGCCGTCCACCTGCCTCTAGCCGTGCCGATCAGCGTTCCATTATTCCCGTTCAGTGAGGTTTCATCCTCTGCTGCTGTCCCCCCAGGGGTGGCCTCCTCGGCCCCTTGAACGCTGTCTAAAGAGATTTTCACCTCCAGAGCTACCTTTTGCTGGCTCACAATAAACAATGGTCTTTTTAGCCCTTATCAGTCAGTGTCACAAAATCATCCTTTTGTGCTACTGTTGTTGTATTCACAGGTAAGGCAAACTGCCCTTACTATGCCAAAGCTGAACACTTGGCTGACTGTCTCCAGGCTGCCTTGCCCAACTTCAGGGTTCACAAGATCACTCAGCACCCTGACAAGTGGGAGGTAAGGGATTGTAAGCCAAGTCACTGGTAGGTGCCCCAGTGCTCTACAAACCAACAAATGTGCTTATATGTACTATGTTTATTCTCTTGTATTAGTGGTATTATATGTGGGTAGAGGTCCTGCAGAAGCAGCTTTATCTGTGAGAGCCAGACAGAGGAAAGGGTTGAATGTTTTGGGCAACTGACATCACTGTGAGTCTTACCACAAAAGATGGGTACCAAGTGTGGGCCAGCCTAGAGGTGTGTTTTGTCAATAAAAAGTTCAAGGAGGTTTTTTTTGATTGGTCAGGTTTTTTGTTTTATGTATACATGGCATCTCAGCCTGTAAATCTTTTGGTCACTGTGGTTGCATATGCCTTCAGAGTTGTTACTTGTCAAGAGCATTTCTGGCAGTCAAGGGCTTTGAATTGCTATGGAAGTATGAAGTTAAATATCACATATTTGTTTACAATGTGGATGTGCCTTTCTGAATATTTGTGCTGTAGACATGTTGCCATGTCTACCCTGTAGTTCCTATAAGGATCTGAAAAAAATGCAGTCTGACTTCATGAGATAGACAGTACCATGATGTTTATTATGTCTTATATTTTGCTTGACACCTCAGCCAAGTAAGTCAAACACTTAAGTGGAAAGCAATTAACCTCTTCACCTTACTTATCTTCTGCAGCTAAGTAATCCTCGTGTTACTCACTGCTTCACAACATTGCTATCTTCTGTATACTAAGACAATTAAGCAAAATCACAGCAGAAGTAGGACCTTTAGGTGAGGTATCACCGTGTATCACCCTGCCTTGCTTTGTGCTGTTTCCCCATTTTGCACATGCTGGTACATAAGTTGTGGAGCACCTTGTAATTATGTATTGAGAGGAAATAGTAAGAATGTTTGTAGTTGTAAGATTTAAGTGTTATTTAAGTGTTAAAACCTTCTGGTGGGGATGTTTACATTAGCAGTGGCTTCATGACATTTGTGAAACGAATGGATGGGAACACAGACAGTCTCCTATCATTTGGAGAGAACTGTTGGACCGTGGAGGGAAAGGTCAGCTTCTGGGAGGACTTAATGATTTTCTGGAATATGCTCAGGTAATGAGCTGCCTTTAATACTATAAATCCATGCTTTATAACAGTGTTGTTCTTTATTCCTCCTTCAAATGTAAAATAAGGCTCTTGTTTGTAACGGTACCTTGCTGGGTGTGGGCTGCCATTTGATTAGAGGTTGTCCTTTTTCTTCTTAGCAATATTATGGTATCACTTCAATGATGTTGAGTAAAGAAATGTTAGATGTTGCTGAGGAGAACCTACAGGCTCATCTTGAAATTGTAAAAGAGGATGAAGAGATTAAAAGTCTTATCAAGCCCATGCAGATCTGGATCACCAGGTGAGCGTAAAGAGAATATCTGTGAAGTTTCACTCAGCTTCAAAAGAATGCACTTTTTCCTATCACATATAGCAGGTGTAACCATCTGAAATTATGCACAAATCCCTGTAATTTGATGATTTGAATTGGGTTCTGTACCCCTCACTATGACAAACAAACTACTTTTGTTACACTTTGCACCAGTTTAAGTGAGGGTTGTGAAAAGGCAACATTTAGACCCCAGATCAGTTTAGGGAAAAGCAAGTATTTACAATATAAGCTGGAAATTTTGTAGTGTAACTATCTTGCATTAAATATTGTTGGAAATATTTAAGTAGATAAAGTCTCTTGCTGTTCTACCTTTAGAAATTTCTATATTTTAGCAGTCCTAACAGAGCACCTTAAAAAATTGTCATTCTATAAAGACACCAATTTTTAAGTGACAGCATCAGCTGAAATGTATAGGATGGAAAAACCTTCAAATTAAAGGAGGACCCAAATGTTTTCATTCTTAACCTGTTAAAATGACATAAAGAGACGTAAAGGATCCAAGCTAATGGTCTATTTAAATGTGATCAAATACAAAATACACACCTTCCTAACAAGCAGTGGTTCATTGTTAACTTTTCTACATCCTCCTCTTATCAGTGCATCAACTCCAATCTGTTATCAACTGATCCCTCTGTTGGCAAATGGAGAAGTGTTTGGGATGACCACAGAAATCAGTATCCATTTGCTTGACACTTGCCAGTTTAAGGAAGTTCTTTGCAGTATTGTAATGGAAGCTGAAGACATGGCGTTCCCACTTCTCCGCAGTGTTTTGGAGCACACTGAAATAGATGAGGCTTTTATTGAAGCTGATGTTATTATTGTTCTTGATGATGTCCTCTTAAACCTTGAAGTCCAGTCCCTTGAGAACTACATCAGAGAAGTAAGTGAGATCTGTCAAGTGTATGCTCCCTTGATTGAGAAGAATGCCAAGAGTGAGGTCAGAGTAATTTCATCAGGAAAAACCTTTGCCAATCTTAAGGCGACGCTGATTATGACGTACGGCCCATCCATTAAGCCTGAGAATATCATTGCCGTTGCGACATCCTGGGAAAGTGCAGCTAAAGCCACGCTGGCCAGGAAGTTGAATGTGAGCGCAGCAGGTGAATGTTTATGTAACATTTGGGGAAATCAGTGCACCTTTGGGAGTGTGTATTTCATTGCAGAACACAGTTGATATGCATGCCAAAATGCAAGCACAGCAGTGCACCCACTGAATTGCATGGGTGCACAGAATGCCAGGGTGTTTTTTACTAGCTCTGGCATGCAGCCCTGCCACTCTGGTGTGTATTTCATGCTGGCAATATACTAAGAAGGTCTGAGTTGTGTTGCAGATCAGGAACTAGGATATCAAGGTTGCATTTACACTCAGTAGTGCATTGTTATTTTGGAGACACACAAACTAGCTGTGATTAAACATGGCAACATACTGCTGTGCAGATAATGAGAGTAATGTAGAACTGTGTTGTACTATTATTTTGGGGTTAATTAGCTTTCTTTCTCAGGTCAGTTGTTATAGCTTGGTTATATTTGCACAGTTCTGCACTGCATAGCAAAGGTGTGCTCTGACAGCCTGCTCACAATCAGGATTCTTTCAGTGTTGTAGGGGCAGAACTAGTCATTGATGACAAGTCTAAATATTTTGGAGCCTAATAAAATAGAAAAGTAAGTTAGACTGAGAGGCCTATCAGCAGGTTATTTGAGAAAATTCTTTTCCAGCAAAGAAGGTGTTTTTTAATGACTTTTTTATTGTTTCTGTATTTATTTTTACAGGATTTTAAAATTAATATTGCTGTATATTTGCAATATGATTTGGTTTGGATTTTAAACACTAAGTATTTTCTGGGGTTTGTCTATTATTTAAAATAGCATGATATAAGTTAAAGTTCCTTTTTCCACTTGCAATGAGGTTTCATATATTGTGGAGAACTTGGTTGCATTTTTCAGATCAGATAATTTCTGCTAGCAAGTCAGGGCACTGAATTGAAGAATAATTAATCTTGAAAGAGATTTGTGAAGGTCATCTAGTCCAGCCTACACTGTGAAAGTGTTTGTCCCTTCATTAATATATATATTTTCCTCTGTTACAGGAGTTAAAGACGTGATTGTTTGGGGCAATATTACTGGCTCTAACTACATTGATTTGTCACATGCAAAACTTTATGGATATGATGGTGCTATTTGGGGCCCAGCTAATTTTCAACGTCCTTTGTTGAATATGATTTATGATAGGTACAGTACACATTTATTTCTGTAAAGTAAAAACTAAATAACTAAATTAATCCATATTTATCTGAACTGGGTGATAAAACATCAAGAAAGGTTTTTGTTTCCAAGATTTGTCTTTACTGATTAGCACTGTTTTAAAGGGAAACACAAATTGAGGTATTCCATCCGTGAAAGAAGTTGAGTAGTTCCTAGCACTGTACATAGTTCTGGCTCTCCTGCCAACTTTGTTTATAACTATTTTCCTATATTTTAAGTGGGTTTCTCTTCTATCATATCATGGGCAGTTTATAAGAAGTAATGAAAGTCCAGACAGTGACTTAGATATCTAGTACGCACGAAGAAACTTTGAAATAGTACTAAACAGATATTTGTACCTGAATTACATGAAACATTCGGCCTGAGCACACTAATGTTGTCAGTGTCTCAAAATAGAGAAACAATTTGTTAACATATGTGAAAAGGATACCTGGCAGTCAGATAGCTTCTTGTGGAAAGAACAGCAGTAGAGAAAGGATAAGCGCAGTGAGAGGGCAGCAGGTGTGAGATGCACCATGGCCCAGTTATATGGAGTTCCCACTCTGGTCTAAACCTACCATTTACTGAAGAGGAGACATTTCTTTTGTTCTGTGCTTATACTGAGCCTAACATAGGGGGATTATGGTTCATGGCTGGGTTCTTACATAAATCAGTAATACATATAAATTACAGTAATAACAGAGGTTATAACTTGAGTAAATAACCTAACTTTCATAGTAAAATGGTGTTTGGCATTACTTTTTGAGCTACTTTTTGTTAGACAATTTTTTTAATGGCTGTAAATGCCTTGCCTCCAACAGGGAAGTTGGAGTAAGTTTTGACTGTTTTCTTTCCTCAGGTTTATTTCTTTTTTTGTCTATGAAACTTCTGCAATCATCTTAGATTTTTAATCTCTTTTTTCGCCCTTTTTTGTTGGTAGGGAATGGATCCATTCAGAATTTTTATCTGCACAGGGTTCACTGCATTCCCGAGTTGGTCGTGGCACAGGAATGTTACCTGCTCACGCGGTAGCCACTGTACTGCAGTACTGGTATCACGGCTCTCCTCCTGGGGAGATTGTTTCTGTGGGAGTACTTAGTGAAGGTAAACCTATTTTTGCTTCTCGTGTTCTCTTGTAGCTTTGCACTACGTATAATAGCTTTCCCCTATCTCTAACGTTACTTTTTAATCAATATTTTTAATGTAACAAAAACTTGTAAAACAAATCACGTGAGGCTGAGAGTTTGTTTCATCGTAAGAACATCCAAATCTAAGTAATTTTGCTTTCCAGGGCTAGTGATTTGATACTCACTTTCTAGAAGCATCTCTCAGGTTAATATTGTCTTTTTGCAGATTTTCTCTTAGTCTTTTAGCTTTAATGTTTTTCTGATATATGTGTTTTGCCCTAGAACTCTTTATAGATCTTAGTGCCTAAGACAGAAAAACATGTTCTTTTTGTGTAGTTATATGGACCAATACATGTAATATTTCACAACAGCCATTCAGCCCTTATATGAAATAAATAATTTTTCTCCCTTTTAAGATGCACAATTGTACATCTTAAATTTGTACAGTTGTACAAGGGGTAATGGTTTTAAACTGAAGGAGATATATAGATTAGATATAAAGAAGTTATTTACCAGGAGGGTGGTGAGACACTGAAACAGGCTGCCCAGAGAGGGAGGAGATGCCCCAACCCTGGAAACATTCAAGGTCAAGTTGGACTCAGAGGAAGCTGGTATATTTGAAGATGTCCCTGCCCATGGCAGGAGGGTAGAGACCTTTAAAGGTCCCTTGCAACCCAGACTAGTCTGTGTTCTGTGATTCATGTACATCTAACTAAAGTACAAGGTTACTGTAAAAGGGGAACTCTTTTTTGAACTGTAGACTGAAAAGTGCAGTCTCCACTTGTACCAAGATCTTGCAGTTGCAGACTTTTGCAAGTCTATAGGATTTAATGTTGACACTGGTGAGAGTGTGTTTTGTAAAAAGAAATAACGTGTTGGGTCATTTTTTCCCTCTTCTTCAGGTCAGTTTTGCGTTCCTGAAGGAATTATCTTCTCTATGCCAGTGAGCTTCCAGAATGGTAGCTGGGAAGTCATAAAAGAATTAGAAATTGATGGAACGACACAAGAAGTTCTGGGACGCTTAGCCCATGAACTAATTCAGGTGAGGATTTCTTGTCTCCCCCGTGTGCCCATTCTGCCACCTATGGGCACCTTGTGGTACAGCCTTGAGCACCGAGACCTTTACTCTCAGTGTTAGATGTACACACTACCCACGTGCACTTGGGCATGATAAAGATCGGGTATTTTTAAGTGTGAGGTAGTATTCGTGTATTGAAATTAACAATTCTGTTGCCCAAAAAGGAGATGGTAAAATAAGTTTACCTATGTACATGGAGAATTTGCACTCCAAAATTCTGCAGGCTTTGTGCAAAACAGAAATAGCACGTTCAATTTAATGTTTCTGCATTCTATGCCACTGATGTTGATTTTGCTTATGTGTATTCAGAGTATTTCTGTGCTAGAAGACACATCTTTTGGCATTTTTGTGGCTGTAACTCTGCATGAATGAAGGCCAGATATTACTAGAATTCGGAATTTTCCAGAAAATACAAAATCGATGAGCACTAATTTCGTCATGAACTTTTTGTCGCTTAGTGAGGCAAAACTAATTTATTTTTAGTATTGAAATATTAAAAGATTGGTTCAGAACTCTACATTCTAGCTTGAGTCAGTTTTGGAATCTTCAGTCATACTAGTAACATGTAAGGATTATTTTTCTTTAGCATATTTTAAGTTTGTGCTAGAAGTTAGAGCAGATTAAAAGAATGGATGATATTAAAACTGCCTTTTTTTTCCCATTTAGGAAAAGCTCGTTGCACTAAAGGAAATAAAAGAAATACATCCCTATGGAGAAGGCTAAAACCCCCACATCTTTTCCCAAGTTTTTCTGTGCTGCTTTTCCTACGTAATTTCATTTTCAAGTTGTCTGTCCTCATGCATCAAAATAAGAGCAAATGTATTTAAAAGTGTGTTTTAGTTCTGTTTTTTTCACTTTTCCCCTATTCTCAGGTTCTGAAACCCTTGCAAGAAATTGTTATAGCAATTTCTTTCTACTTTTAAGTCATACAGACCTTTTTTCTAGTTAGTTTTCTTTCTCCCTTCCTTCAAATTCTTTCCAGCACTTTTATATCATCACTTACCATATTGTGAGCTGTTCTTCTCCACTAAGGGCAGGCTGAAGAATGGGAAAACTGTTTGGAGCTTGATGCCCAGAGCCTGTAACGAGCACATAAGCCTTTTGGTTATCCATGCTTTTTCTTGGGGAAGAACTACAGACACAATAAAATATTCTTGATAATACAGAGTTTAATTATTTGGCTAATCATGACCTTGTTTAACCCAGACAGGAGATTCTCAATTAGATAACAGTGTCCTTCCCTGTCTGCTCCCTATGTATATGGCACTGCTCTTCTGTAGAGCTGCCCTATTTCTCTTGTGGCTGTGTTAAACACTAAGCAGAGGCCTTCCCACTGCTAGCAGCTATCTGCTTAGTTGTGGTCTTCTCTTGTGACATCAGTATCAGGTGTTCAAATGTTCCCAGAGTGCCCTGCTGATCTCTTTGAATGTGTAGGCATTTTAAAAGGCTGGCAAAAAATATGTAGTGTTTTTGCCTTTTTTTTTTTACAGAAATGGAAACCTTGCCTACTGGGTCACTTTAGCCAGAGTTGTCTGGAGGAAAAATGCTGGAAATTCCCATACTAAAATAAGACTTTCATTGCTCCAGAGAGCAAACTACAAAAAACGTTTAAACATTGTCATAGCTTTTGCTGTATCTTCTTCATAAAAACCCAGGAAATCTCTAGGCAGAAAAATATTTCAAAATCAGAATGAATGTAACATTCTTAATCTGGAGACCAAAATAAAATTCCAACTGATTCTAATGAGTCTAGGATTTCATTTGCATCCAACAGCTTATTTCTTCAGACCAATAAACTGTTGCAAAAACATAGTTTAGTGTTCCTATTATGAAAATATTGAGTAGGATTGTCACACCTAGAGTAGCAATTTTCTAACTCCAGATACTTATTTTGAATGTATTGAAACACAGGACTTGTGTAATAATATATCTTCTTAGGCAAAATGGATTTTTCACACAAAAATATAAGTCCATCTCCTTAGTGACAAGATAATTTTTTGTCCCCATGGGGTTTTTTTATTTATCTCATGAGTTTCAAGGGAATACGCATATGTTTTAAGTCAAACTTGCAATTAATTAAGTCCTTGTGTAAACAGAATTATTGAGGAACCACTCTCACTTGTATGTCTTTGGGGTCTTAAAAAATGGAAACAGTGTTAATGAAATGTTAACTGTACTTGCTAATTTTATAAGTTATGTTTAAAGCAAAATAGAAAGCTTCCTGTTCTTTGAATCAGATACATATAGTTGGAATAAATTCATTATTTCTGTTCAAGTGGAGGTTCAAGTTCTGAACAGGGGTAGACTTCTTATATGAGGAAACCAAGAGGAGTATATGTTATATATAGGAGGAGTTTGCATGGAAATTTTAGAGGCAGGTGTAGTAGAAAATCTTGAAGAAAGGGGTTAGGAATCAGTAATTTAATGAGAAAATGGTCTCCACAGAATTAGTTTCTAGTATATGCATGGAAAATTGGCTGAGTTTCTGGGGAGCATCTGGAGGTAGAAGTCTCAGGAGAGCATAGTGGGGTGCTACCAGTAGTCATTATAAACTACCTGGTTTGTTCCATAGCTCCTTCTCCAAGACAGGAGAGGAAAAGTTATCTTCTCTAATGTGTATTTACAGTTGGTTTTTTTTCTATATGGAATATGATTTGCCTGTGGAGATAGCAGTTCAAACTGCAGTTCAAGCACCAACACTGCACAGCTGCTGATGAGAAGGTATATAACTGTTTCTGCAATATATAAACAGGCTTATCAGACTTAGTCACTAGCTGACAAGCTTTTTTTCTCAGGGGCTGGGAGGTGAAAGAAAAAAATGTTTGGGATGTCTCTTGTATCCTAAACTATTCTAACTGGATTTGCCTAGTGGCCTGTAGGGAAATTCATGTCTTCCCCTGTGGAAGCATAATAGAATGGAAAAGTTTCTTTTCCTAGCTTTACTTGGGAGAGAAAGACAAAAATTAAAATAGTAGGAAAGCTAAAATATAGTAACGTATTCAAAGTTGGTTACAGTTGTAACACAGCAATTGACTCAGTCATCACTAAGTTTGGGGTTTCTATAAGTAATAAGCCGGTACACATTATCTCACAAATTACCAAGTAATGTTATATATGCAGGATATTCATAGCATTGATGACTCCTACTACCTGGATGTTAGAGTAGATGTTGAAATATTTATGAAAAAGGGCTTTAAGCTAAATATATGGGTCTTACAAAAGTTATATATATTCTGCATAAACCCTTATGTTTGGGTGTTGTGAAGAGTGTGTTAGCTTTCTGATTGGTCTGAACAATCCTTATTCTAGGACATTACCACTAGGGCTTACTATTTTTCTTCTTCGTGTAGCTGCACCAACTGTTTGTTTCAACACACTGTGCTTTCTGCATTACTGTGCCAGCTTCCACCTTATTTTAAGTCTCTATAGCAACATGTTTCTCAGCAACTGGGAGATGCTTAGTAAAGGCCCCTCAATTTAGAAATATTGCACTCCAACCTTAGAAAAATGCTTTGAAACAAAGATCAAAGAAGTTTTATCTTTAATAATTCAGGATATTTATTACTATTTAATTAGTGTTCTCTGTTTTGACTGCTTAGACAATTACCTGATACTTTGATCTGGGCCTTTGCCAGGCATTTGTTGTGAGCAGCATTAATTTAAAAGCAAAACCTTTAGAACTACATCTTGAAATCAACTTTTAAGTGCTATAAAACTACCGGACTCCTCTGGCAGTGTCGTCTGACTTTTGGGCCTTTAGTAAGTAATGAGAGAAAGGTAAGAGCAGCTACTGTATTTAAGAGGAGACAATAATTTTGACCTTTGAACAAAACATAGAATGTGTTCACCCTTCACAGGAAACAAAAGTAGCTGTAGGTTATTTTATGCACATTTAAAATGTTGATGATATGTTGCCTGATTTCAAAAGAAAAAAATTCTCTGTGATCAAGTCAATTGATCTGTTGGGAGATTTCTGCCTTACTTCATGTGGCTTGTCTTTCTCTGTACTGTAACTTAATCATGTAGCATGTTTAAAAGTGCATTTTATTTGCTGAAGTACATATTCTGAGAACCTGTAAGGCAAGTAAAGTAGATATAAGTAATCAAACATTGCTCTTCTTTCACATTACAATAGGTTTCGAGAAAAGGGCTGCTCTTGTTCTGCACATCAGAGTATTCTTATTAATGGGACCAAGATTTATAATTGTAAAAATTTATTTCCTGCACATTTGTACATAATTTTAATTTTCTCATTTGTTTGTCTTCTGTTTTTTTCATTGTTAAAGGGCACAAGTAGCTGAAATATAACACACTGACTGAAATGGTGTATGAATGAGCAAAGTCAGTTCAGATTTGGTGGCTGGCAGATACTGCTTCTACTTTCATATTATGTTCGTTATGAGGTAGATGTGCTAATACTGAAGTAGATTCTGTTCATTTCACCCAGGCATTTCTAACTGCAGTCGAGATCTGGACTGTCCACAGAGTTTTGTATATAAAAATGTAGACTGTACATACATTAATAATGCCTTTTGTAAGGTTTTGGAGGGAGGATTCATAGGTATGATGTTGTATAATGGTGGGCAGTTTGGTAAAACACATAAACACATGCTTAGCTTCGAGACCATAAATACCCTAATAGAAGGCTATAGGGTCTTTCCACATGGGTCATTTAAATGTTGGACACTGCACTGTACTGAATAGAGATCTTGTCATTTTACAGTATCAAGTGCTCATAGATTATGCATGCTGCATAATTCAGTAAGGATCTGTTCTTATTTGAGTAAGCAAATTCTAATGAGTTCTGTATATTTTTACATTCATTCTATCCTCTTTCTTTATTTTATGTACCCTTGGTGCAAAGAAAAACAGGAGGAAAACATGAGGCAAGCTGTGTGTTCGTAAGTTTACCTTCTAGGTTTCTTACAAAACATGTAGCTTTCAATAAACACTTACCTTTAATTCATTGTTTAGAATCTTCTGATTTCATTGATTTGCCTACATTGACTTTTCTGTCAGGCTATGCAGAGGCACCTACTACTGCATATATTTTAGGAGTAATTGTATCATATTTGCATATATATTGCATATGTATTTGCATATCCATATGTATATGTACAAAGTTACATGCCTATGTAAATGTTGGGCAGAGCTGTAGTCTTGCAGAACCCCGTATGGAGTCCAAGTTCTAAATCTTAGTAAGGAAGAAAATAGAAGAACAGTGGAAAAGAAACATAGTGGTATTTCTTTCAAAGAAAGACTTCAGTAAAAACTGTGGCATTGTAGTCTTTAATGAAAAGTTATGAAAGCAAATCTGTATCCCATTATTTTAAGTATTTATAGATTACTTAGAGACTGAAACACAAAGTAGCAGCTTTCACCAACTAAAATGGTGAGAAGCATATTTATGGTAGACTGAACAATTACAGATCATTGAATATTTATGCTTCATAATTGGCCGGTATTCTGTCATGTTTATGTCAAATGATCAATGATTCTCACTGGAGAAATGTAGTAAGTGAACATTTGTTTAAGTTAGGGTTTAACACCAAAGGTATTATTTAAGTTTTAAATATTTTCCAAGTATTTAATTTTTATTTATTCTGGCAAAATTTCCCTTTTTTCTCCACAATAAGCCGTATATGTGGCCCTTGGAATCTTGTAAAACTTAGATCTATTATACCTAATGTTTTGCAACTGTAATATTAACTGATAGTTACTATAATTAATTCATATTTTTATGTTTGAAAATATAATGTAGTTTAGAGCATTAATGAAATAAATCCTGAGGGGAGACATTCAGTTTCCATTATT